CGGGGGGGGCCGGGGAGCAGAACGGGACTGAGAGCATTGGGTGGGGGCCAAGCAACGCACTACCGGGACCGTGAAACCGCCACAGAGGATGGCCTTTTCCGGAAGGATCTGAACAACAGGGAGGACAGACCAAAGTCATTGTCATTAAGGAATGCTCTAGAAACAAACCTAACCAGGCGGGCAGCCATGTGCTAAGAAGCTCTGCCGTTGAGAAGGCAGAAGATTATTGGCTAAATGTTTGCAGATGTCTTTCTGCTGCTTGCTCAAGGGAAGCAAACCACGGGCCAGAGACCGGAACAGAATGATGGAAGTGCCTCAGACACAGACAAGGACCAAGAATGAACAACAAAATGGCGTAGGGGCGAAAGAAAGAGAAAAAAACGAAGAGGATGAACAGCCACCGATGCTAGTAACCCTCATGACCTCTGTAGACTAGGCTTTGAAGTCTAAGGGTTGCAGCATGTTCTCAAAGGTTCTGAGGATGAGCAGAACTTTGTTAGACATACAGTAACGGCATCTAACACTGCACAGCTGTAGAGCGGCGAGTGTGCCCTAAAAGAACAGCGCCACGCCCTCGTCCTGCCCCAGGCCGGTCTGCGCCACATGATCTGGTGCCCGGCTGCAGGAATAGCCTGGTGCTCCTTAACCAGGCAAAATGCCGCATCGATTATCAGTCGTTCGCTGTGTGATTCACGTGGCCAAATCTCCAGGCAAAAGCTATATATTTTACAACGGCAACAAAGTGGTAATTATAAAAAAAATGGAAGAACAGCTGAACATAACGAAGCAGAAATAAACAGAAGAGCCGGTAAGCAGATATAAATGTATACCAGATTACCTTTCAAGGGAAATATAATTTTTAAAAGAACAGAAGCTATTTCCCCTATATAGAGAAGACTGGCTAGATATTTGTACTTGATTTTCTTTTCAGATTTAAAAACTGCAGAAGAAGGGCTTTCTTCAGCTTGTTTTGATCCTCCCCCCCCTACAGACATTCAAAGGTGGACAGAAAACATGACAGATAAACAGATCTGAACCACGGAGAATGTGACGCAAATGGCAGGTGGGGACAATCAGGTACAACAAAACATCCAGGCTGACAACAGAAGAGCTAAAAATGTCCTCTTGTCAAGGACGGTAAACGTCTATATGCTACTCAGACATCTTGTCCCTACCTGGGCACCATGCGTCCCATGGGTGTAGCGGGGGAAAAAAAATAAAAAAAGATGAATAACGGACGTGATCTTTAACGGCACTGAATATTATTAGCTTCACTGTGAATATTTCATGTGCTCCTAAATGACACAGTTAGGTAAGCATGCTTTCCATAGCATGACAGGATAATAGGTACCGATAAGATAATGGGCTCTGTGCCCATATGAAACGCTCTGTTCCCGCAATTTGGTGACACTGTGTGAAACTTGCATCAAGGCCGCTGGCAGGCGGAGGTCACCTTTCGCATATTCATATAAACTTTAAAGTTTCACACCCGATGTCTCACTAGGGGTTAGTGTCACCCTGTCATTTTCATGGCGCTGAAAATCGATCTCATCCGAAGGCTCGGATATCCCGCCATGTCGCCATTAGTGCTGTAATTGATTAAAGGTAAACTGGGGCAGGATCGCAGACAGCTTGTTCCGATACGGAGCGAAGGCCATCTAAGCTAGCCTTTCCTTATGCTATGAAAATGTAGCGGATAATAGATTCCTTTGTTCCATCTCTCTGAGTCATCAATAAAAGGTTTCAGGAAAACGACCATTTTATCAAAACCTATCAAGAATTTTTCTTTGCCTGCGTGCTTTTCCACAGCAACAACAAAAATACCATGTTGATAATACTATTATGATGATGAATATTGTCTGAGTTTGTCACCTTGCATGTGCACAGACAGGTGTGTCCACAGCAAGACGTATCTGACGTGCCCGTGGCAACATGTTTTAACTGAGAAAAAAATTGCGGAGGCTATGTTAAAACCATGGTAATACCATGTTAATACCAAGGCCATGGTAAAACTTTTGAAAAATATCCATGTTGACCCTTGATTATGATAATGATAATGATGATGATGATGATGATGATGAAAGTGATGATTATTATTATTATTAGTAGTAGTAGTATTATATTGTGAAATTTCTCATTTCTGACTTTGCTGAAACTCGCACTCTGAGCACAATCTGCACACACGAATATGCTTATTATGCGAGCCGTGTGAATGTTAGTGGCTTTCTAATGACATTCGGGGGGAATTACGAAGAGGAGCTGCCTCAGCGTGGCTAACGAGGGAGCCTCCTGCTGCAATTAGGTCGCCCTCCGCCGCTCATTTACCGCCATGCGCTCGGTTCAGGAGGGCAAAGAGATAGAGGTACAGTAGGATGACCCACCCCCCTGGCCAGTGCACTGTTCTCTCACACACATGCCATCCATTTTCATGCATCTCACTCTACAACCTAAATACTGAAGCAAAACATGAAAAAATTAAATAGATAGATAAATAAATAAAAATTAAAAACTGAACAAGAGAGGAAGAATCTATCCACGTCACAACATCTCTGGGGGGCGGATCAGAAGACACTGGGACCTACAAGGACACCTGCATGTTTCTCCAGCACAAGCAACATCTGAGGAGGTCTAGTCTGACCTGTGTCAGTAGCTTCTGCTTCATCCCAGTCCCTCTCTCTCTCTGTCCAAATGTCCTTCCTCCCTTCCGATGAAGCAGTGGAAATATCACTATATGTCAATGGACCAGAAACCTTTGCCAGTCTGTAATCCTTAGTAACCTGCGCAAGATCATAAAGAATAGGGAGTAAAGAAATATCCACACGAGAGCGTCCACATTGACATACAGCCGCGTCCACACTGACATGTGTAAAGCAATGAAACGTCACAGGGTGGATTACTGGGGTTAATGGATCGGCTCGACATCATCTGCAGGACTCGTCGCCATTGGGACTCAATGGACTGATTCATGCAAGTTTCTCCTTTGCTCACACTTAAGTTTATGGATCCACGTCATGCCCTCTCCACCACACTGACGGTGCCTCTGGTGGTAGCTTATTTTAAAATGTTAATGGCGTACAAATGGATGCGCCGAAAGGAAGTGACGAGTAGCACGTCCTGTGCTACCGCTGGTACCTAAGGCATTGTGACCGTGACATGCGAAACAAGGAAAAAAGAAAAATAGCTAGTAATCAAAACGAATATACTAATCGTTTTATTGTTTCATCGTGTTTCTTTCCAAACAAAGCAATACAAAATAAAACAGCACAGTCTTCTTTAAGTTCCGTCGGAATGCTTTTGGTAATAATTGATGCATATTTATTTTGCAAGGTTCGGAAGCTTTTGGTTCTGAAACTTGGTATGAAGCCAGAATATAGCAAGATCATTTGAAAGCAAAAAAGGCAATTTAAAAAGACGCACTTCACAGTTTAATTATCTCGCAATATTTGTCTATTGTTTCTCAGGAATCTCAACGTCGAGCGAAATATAAAATATGAAAACCTTAACAAGAGCAATTAAACCTTGTATATTACACAGCATGATTCATTATACAGGACTAGCCTTCTAAGTGAAAACCGACTGAATGTATTTAGCACGAAATACAAGACATCAGATTTTATACTCAGTTGTTCCCTTGATGACATTTTCAGGGTGGCATATTTTTGGACCAATTTAGCGACAGGTGGAGAACAGATGAAGTCCAAAGACTGCATAGCCCCAGACATTAGGACTGTTTGTCCCATTGTAGATGCTCATGACATTTATCTGTAAACACGCTGTGTTTCAGGCACAGCACACTTTATGAATGACCTCCAGATAATACGCGCAATTAGCTAGTGAGGGAGGGGCACTGCTAGCTTGGCAGGCAGAATCAGTGATTCCATCGCGCTCCCGCATGTAGCCATGCGAATCGCAGCTGTAAATGATTTATAAACCGCATACATTAAGAATACAACCGTGGATACATTATTTTTTTACCCTGAGCAAAGAAAGCCACGTCTGAATTATTAACTGTAAAAAAATGTTTCCTGAATGTTCTGCAGAACTTAAAATGGAAATGCTACAAAAATCGCAGGGAACTTTATAACCCTGCTTGGCCTGCAAAGGAATGATTGTGTAAAGAGCAAAGGGGCGGGGGGGGGCAATTTTGATTTCGCCAGAACACACCTATAACTGAGTGTACTGGATCTCTACTAAATCAGGGCTGGCGTCTGCGGCTGGATCCGTAAAGTACAGTGTGGCAGTGTCTTCCCCCCGCGGCGGCCTCCTGGCTGCGCCGGGCCCGGTCACCTCTTTGGGCTGCTCTCGCCGGCACCGATTGCTGCTCCACCACATCTCCAGGGCGGCCACCAGGCAGGCCAGCAGCAGGCCTGCAGCCAGGATGCAGAAGACGCCGGCGAAGCTGTGCAGCTTCAGGGCGCGGCCGTCGGGCTGCGCGTGCGCGTGGCTGTCCAGGTCGCAGCGGCCCATGCGGGGCCACCACTTCTGCTTCAAGATGTCCAGGTCCCCTTTCTCCTGCAGCTCCAGGATCCTGCAGGAAATGGCCACAAGGGGACATAGCCATTAAGGAATTTGGATTATCTATCTATCTATCTGAGCTTCCACAATCACACATTTGGGGGGCAGGGGGGTGCAGAGTCATGTGACGAGCCCCTTAAATCATTTTGTAATATTTTGTCTCTCACCCTGACTGATCAGATCATGGATCACGCCCTCGGGTTCCGATTTATAAACCCTGCTCTCGGCTCCGCCGTTGTTAGAACCCAAAGTGTTCTGGTCCGTTCCCTCTTCACACTCATTCAGAATCTGACTAAGCAGAGAATGCCAGCAAGGAACAGGAGGAGCATATAGAGCCGGCTCATATGCAGATATTAATCTGCTCGTGTATTTTGAGGGACAGGGCCATGCTGGCAAAACGCTGTGTGTAAATACGCCTGCGGTGACATCGGCTGGTGTAGGTCTAACCCTACAGAATGAAACTGCGAGAGGTGACATTATTCAACACGCTGCCCATGAGTCTGGAACCTAAGCACCATTCGTATGAATAATTGGTATGAATATGTTGGTGCATGTCATGCGACTTGTTTATGTTTGTGCAGAGCGATTTTCTGCCTTTGGTGCTTGGGCAAAACTTGCATCAAGAATTTCCAGACAGCCGGATGAACTGATCCAGAAATAAAATTAAACAAACACGTTAAGCTTTAGAGGAATGGCATTGTTCACTGAGGCATGCCCTGCCGCTTGATGGAGGTCAAAGGTCGTCAGGTGAGGACAACCAATGATTTATAAAAGTTCTGCATCCGCACTGGTTCTGATTCAGAGCTCCAGTTATGTCAGAGAGGGTCGTGACTCTGCCGATCCCTTCATGGTCTGATGCTCTGTTTAATTTAAAATGCCCGTTTTTTCATTTTAGAGTCTTACCACATAAATTTCAGTGCAGCTTATGTATTATTATTATTATTATTATTATTATTATTATTAAAACCCCCCAAGGGTTCAGTGATGACTGGGTGACATGTTTTCTCCTGAGAAGGAAGCACTTGAACTGCAGTGACACTCAATGCTGCTGGGTCTTCATTAAAGTCACGAGATTTGATCATAATATTTGGAATGGATGGGGGCGGTCTCCCTTTTTCCCTCTGCTAGGGACTCACTTTATGTAAAGAAGCACTTTATTGAGTATGAAGTTTTGCCATTTATAACTCCAACAATGAAATTAATTAAATGTCAACTTCTGTAGTCCGTCACCGCTGTAAATTTGAAACGAAATAAACAAGAACGGTACAAAACGACTTCTTAATTAAAGTGGAAAATGGGCTTCCAGAAAACGCCATTATGAAATGGCGCCCTTCAGGCAAATACCACAGTCACTCGCAATTTCTAAAGAAGGAACAACAAAAAACGACAGGAATCTTCCGGGGATACAGACGGTAAAACTGGGTAGATGGAGGAGATTCAGAATGACGAATCCCTTGCTTTAGCGGGTGGAGACCATGAAATGAAAGTCTCGCCATCTCCCATTGTGTGAAAACATGCTAGCAGGACATTCCAGCCATCATCTGGTACCTGGAGTGAGGTAGGGGGGCAGGGGGGCGGGGGGGATGTGGGGGATGTGGGGGATGGGGGCACCATCTTGCTGACCAGCCTCGCTACCTCCCATGATGCACTTCTGCATGCAGAGTGGGCTGCACCGGCGACAGAAGCCGGCTGGGAGAAGATGAGAGGAGTTAAACACTCACCCTCTGTGATGTCCCGTAATTTATCAGAACGAGAGGAGACCGGCCTCTCAGAATCAGGGCACAGCATCATCGTGCTGCAAGGCGAAGGCGCGCCCCGAAGCCAGCAATGCATTGTGTTAAAACGATGCTTTTTGCCACTAAAACTTCATGGTTGTTTCCATCCAAATTCAATGGCTGGCAGACGAACCTCGCCAAGTGATTACCCTAACGAGCCATATTTTCAAGTGATCTCTGTCCCGAATCAATCAAACCCTGCAGTTACTGCTTCCTTCACAACATATATATGTATTTGCAGGCAGATTAGCAGCTTTTACTGGGACCCCCTGCCGCTTAATGACAGCTAAGTGAATCCCACCAAAACCACCCGCTGTTGGTCCTATCTGGAACATACCAAGACGCAGCTAGGGAGGTGGCCAATCAAGAGTGAGCTTCGCTGTGAAGCTAATTAAAATTCCTCAGGTGAACTTATAATGCCTGGTGGACAACATAAGAAAAGTTAAAAAAAAGCCTGTCCTACGCCTGCTGTGAATAATTTGAAGGATTATTATCTCTAATAATTTGCTAAATTCTTCAAAAGCGCTGAAAATGCCTAATAGCAAGCGACAGATAAACCACACCCACCAGCCATCTCAGGTCAAGTCTGGAAAGGAAATGTGAATCCGTACATACATGGGCATATTCAGGGGTGGGACTACAGTCATACTGGTCCCACCTCAAAACTGATTGGCTTTCGCAGTGCCCCTCCCCTGTCACTCACCAATTCAAAACATATGATTGGCTAATGATAAGGCTGGCCCCTCTGTATAAATTAAGTCCCCTCTTACGCTTCCCACCTTAAAAATCATAGAATTGCCCCTACATACAAAACAAATAGAGCTATTATGTAAATATAACCTGTTTGGCACCTTCCTAGCTGTTCTCAGGACAGCGATTCATTGCAAAGATGTCTGTGTGCAAGGAACCCCGCCCACATCCTCAAACTCGAACGTTACTCACTTCAATTGGTTGATTCAGATCATGTTCTCTTTTAATTAACTTTCTAGTGTCGGTTACTTTCACAATGGGATAAATTTATCATGGAGAGGATGAGGAGGACTAAAAGCTGACACAAATGGTAACAGGCATTTGGATAGACTGCTAAACGAAGGAAAGTGTCATGAAAATCCACGAAAGGCCCATCTATTGCATGTAACATCCCCCCCCCCCCAATTCTGCAGTAGGCGGTTTGCGGCGTCATGTTTCCTCTCGCTGCATCTAATGCGACGGTGAGGCTGTGCGGATCCCGCGCGGAACCGCGGCCAAGGCCTGATAGGCCGGACTTCGGGTGTGAGTCGAGTCAGGTGTGACGGACCCACACGCCCACAGTAGTCAGAACCGCAGCCTAAGGAAATCGACCGGCGGTGATAAGGAAGGCCAAGCTAATCAGACATGGCACCCAGGGAGTCGGACTGAAGCAGCCAGAGGCACCAGAACGTCAGCGGTTAGCGTTAGCGTTCATTCACGGTTTGCTGATAAAGGGCAGGAGCCAGCAAGCGTCATGGGGTTGCAGCAGCAGGACGGGACTCAAACCACAGGGTAAAGGAGATTTCCTGTCTTACTATATCAGCTATTGTAGTAATTGTGCCAAAATGACAGGATTGTCATTGACTTCTGACAAGAAAATCAGCAACGCGGATGGTAATATAAATTGATTTTCCAGTAATATATGGGTTCTCAGTAAAACTACCGGTGTTATGAGGTACTATTACAACTACAAATGTGTGCTTTTAAAAGCTCCAGCTTAAATGACAGCAGAGATGTCCGACAACGCGTGTGAACTGGTGTATCCGTCCTTCTCTTTTCTATTCCGCCTTTCTCCTTTTGCGCTGGCCCAGGGCGGCTGGCTGGAATGGATGTCCCTTGGTCCTGAGCTGATCCCGCAGCACCAAACTCACCCCCGGAGCCTGGTACCCGGCAGCAGAGGGACGCACTGCTGATGGGATGTCATGGAGACCGCGGCTGGCGCACTGACACACGACAGCATGGGGAGGCTTCCCATTTAACACAGATACTGGAGTCTCAGCAGTCACTGGCTATATGTTGCTGGGCAGATCGCCACAATCAGTTTTGAGGACCCCCCAACCCCCCGGCATTGGTTAATGACGAAATGCAGAGCTCCATAAAAGGTCCAATCCATTCACAACTCATTTAGATCAGGTGGATGGTCCCCCTACGTTACTGGCACTCAGATTCATTCGGGCAGACGGCCGATCACATGTGAAATGGACTGTTTACACTCTTCTGGTTTTCCGAAAGCCATGCCATTCTGGAAGGTTTATCTCAGCAGCACATACGTACGATGTGCCTGCCAGGCCGTGCCATTCGCTGGCCCGGCGAGTAGGGGGCGGGACAACAGCCGGCCGGGACCAATCATGTTTTCCGGTACAGCCCATCAAACCGACGGCGTTGCTGCATTTCAGTGCGTTTCTAGGGCAACGGCTAATTCCTGCCGCCACATTAAAGGTGGATACGACAGGCCTGCCACGCAGCCCGGATGAGTTCATTAATGCAAATTAAGAGGGTGTGATTAAATTATATGAAACGGCAACTTCCAATATGGCTGCACATAATCCAAATGAATAGCGGGCTGGACGCGATCCAGGTGCTTTTATGATGCCGTGTGGCATCAGGCTTGAGGAGCATCCCAGAGGGGAGGAGCCAGATGAATGAGCGGTGTCTGCCCCCCCCCCCCCACTCAAGGAATGGACCAGAGTACGGCGCTAAGGGAGACCCAGCCCCGCATCGCAGCACCATCAGAGCCCGGCTCCCTATCAGAGCCACATGGCAAATTGCACAGCATGTCCATTGCACTGAGAAAACACCCTTGTGCTCCTCACCTTGTCACCCGCCTCGAGAAACGACCACAGCCAATGACCAAAAGCGTGCTGTGATTCTCCCAGGGCCGCTCAGACACATGGGTCTGAGTACTGTGCTTTTTTCCCGTTTTCGTTTTACTTTAAGGTGGAAAAAGCCCCCCTCTCCTCTTCATATGAAACTTTTATTTACACCTCCTAACAGAATTACCATGAGATGCAAGGTACAGGCAGTCCGCGGGTCAAGGATGTCAGACTCATCAACAACTCGTACATATCAACAGACTGCCATAAAGCCTACTATATTTAAAAATCATATTAACGAACGAATGTACTAGTTTGTGACGCTCATGAAAACGTAACGTGGCTTAAGCAGTCTGTCAACGAGGTACAGTATGGTATCGTATGTAGTTTCTTTTATTATTGCTGTGTTTCCATTATTATTCTTATTATTATTATGTACTATATTATTATTTTTCCGACTAACCTACAAGTTTGACTGAAAGACTGGCTTAAGCAATGGATCTCGTTTGTAAACAGGGGACTGTCTGTACATAATTTCCAGAAAATTCCTGGATCAGCCTGTGAGTGGCATGGTTACTGTCTGGATGAAGAACAGTTGGAATTTGCAATCTTTCTGTGACACGGCAAGCAAAATTAAATGACTGTTCAGTGCAAGTTTTATTTGACTAAACGCTGACTACATGAGCAAAGCAGGAACGCTACATGCAACGGCGTTGAACTTTTGACGCTGAGATGCGTGAACCTGTCAGTGCAGGAAAACATGAAAGAATCAGGACAGAGATCCAAAAGAAGAATGGTAAATAAAACTGCTGCCTAGTGCTGAAGCAGTGAAAGGAGAGAAAAGGGAAATGAGGGAAAGGTGACCGAAGATATACAAAGCAGCCCCCTTCCACGGAACAGTCAGCGTTTCAGCACGAGGCCCAGCAGCCAAAAGCGGGACTGGACTGAATCCCAGCAGAACTTCTGAGGTCCGGTCATACACATCTGTCGGTGCTGAGTGGACACTCTGCAGATCTTCCTCGCATGATTCCCATGCATGTCTCAGCTCGCTTTCATAAGCGGCCACCGAGAGAAGCTGCCGGAACACTTTCCTTGTCTGTTTTTACAAAGGCCTTTCAGCTGAGGCTCTTGGTCCCTTAGTTGGGACAGTACCGTTGGGAAAAGGGGAGGGGGCGGAGCTAGAAGAGCAGCGCTTTGGTAAGCTGCCGTGGGACGGAATCGGGATTTGCGAGTATCTTATACTCCCAGATGCGGCGGGGCCACGCGGTTTAGTCAAGCTGAGCTCGAGCGGATTCTCAGTTAAAATCCCGAAAACTACATGGTGGAGAAGCTGGGCAGGGCAGAAGGACAGCAGGAGCAGGAGGCACTCACTTCTGAGAGAAGAGATCGCGGTAGGGGCTGCCGTGTTGCATGGCGATGCCGTAGCCCTTGCTACTCATGCTGTTGCCTGTCACCATGATGGTGCAGTCGTCGTCAGTGAGGGCCGCGTACTCCACCACGGCCATGTCCCACAGGAAGGCGTAGGACCCTTTCTTGGCCTGCAGTGGGGATGCAAGAGGAAGCTCACGTCAGTTTCCGTCAGCAACACCGAATGGGTGGTACGACGGAGAGTTCCGGATCAATGCGCTTACCTGGCTGCATTTCTGCGGCCGTTATTTTTACAACATTGCACAGAAACAGAAAGAGGGACGGAGGATCTCATTGTTGGGGTGGGAGCAGGCAGCCTCTGTCTGCGGAGGATCGATCTCCGCTAATTTGGGATAACGACTCATCCGCTTAAAAGTATTGAGCCGAATGGAGCAGGAAAGTGAAACGCCTCTGCTGCCCTGGGACCAGGGCTGCTTTTGACCAGAAATTACTTGTTTTTTGGACTTACTTTGTGCTGCGAACGGGAAAGGAAAACCTACCCCAAGCCCAGGGGCAAAAGTTGAGTTTTTTAAATGGTATGGCTTAAGAAAATCATGCACCGGCCCAATACGAATGCTCATCTTGGCGTATCAGTACCACCAGGCACGCGGTTGTCCTATTACCCCGGCATCTGCCCGCCTTACCTTGCGGATGCCCTCTGAGGGGTTCGAGACCGAGTTCTCATGCCCATTGTTCTTGCTGATGGTCCTCCAGAGCTCTGCATACGTGCCGTCCTGCTCCAGGGGATTGGTGCCCTTGGCCCGGAAGTAGTCGTAGACCGCGGAGTCCCGGACGGTGCCGTAGGACAGGTCCATCTGTTTGGCCAGGTCCTGGAAGGTCCTGGTGGGAAGGCCAAGAGGAGAGGGAACATGGTCTGCGATGGTGGCACAGAAAGGCAAATGCAATGACCTAGATGCCAGGGGCAGCTTATTACAAGACAGTGGAGTCCTGCTTTCTGATTAGCCAATCAACTTTTTAGCCAGTCGTCTGCTCAACACAGGGCCGTATGTTGACCTTCGTCAGAAACTACAGAGTGTGTTTACAGAAGCTGGTGCAGATTAACATCGAGGTAGCCAGCGCAGTTTCTGGGTCACTGCACATTAATTATCTGCAGAGAATTACAAGAGCGACGTGTTTCAAAGCAGCCAAGAAGCATGACTTTAGCCTGGATCTCAAGATAAAAAAAACAGCTAAAAATAAAACAATTAAATACGACACGGGCCTCCATCCAGAGGAAAGTACAAGAGTGACTAGACGAGCTCTCTGTTTTGCAAAATGACGCCCTTTCAAGTGGGAGAAGGGCAGGCCTGGGCTCAGATCACGGCAGACACCTATCATTAAGGCACTCGCAGCTGCAGGAAACAGAGCTGCCTTCGGCGTTTACAGATCAAGGCTACGTCATTCCCTGTTTGGCCTCAGACACAGCGAACTTACCAGACAAACTTGCTGACCCTGGTCTCTTTGACACTCTATACGGTACATACTGAAAGATGACCTTTTTTTTACACAGCTGAAGTTTGCTCAGTACCCAAGCAGGGCTTTAATGACTCAGGCCCCGTATCACTTTAGCCAGCTGTAACGCGGCTTTGTGTGATGCCGGCGATAGCAATCACAAACAACACTCCCCCATAATTCCCTTGCGGAGGGACCATCTAACAATTCCCGCCCTGGGTTAAACATTTTGATTCATTGCATAAGGTTGGAAATATTATGGAATATTAATGCGTTCTTTAATTTATGAGCTGGGCTATTCTTGCAATTAAGTGAAAAAGGGATTAATTATTATTGTCCAGGCTTTATTAATTGGCCACGGCTATATGCACAAAGATGATAAGGCGGAATGGGACACCCGGAGAAAACTTTACCAAGGTGAAACCAAGATGGTGGTGCAGAAAGGAAACAGGAGGTTTGCTCCTCAGAGATGCTGTCCGAAATAAAAGTGCTCAGATCCATATCTCAGTTTAGCGATGAATTTAGTTTGGCGGTATGTGATATGACCGACAGCTAGCACCCCGCCCTGTCCTCAGGCGGGTCGCTTTCCTCCAGTTAGACTCTTGTTGGCTGTGCGAGAATGCCCCCCCCCTCCCTGTTCTTGCCGGGCAGGATTCAGTGGCGGGCAGCCACATCTCATCCCGCTGGCCCCGCCGCCCACAATGCTTAGCGGCGGAACTAGCGCTAGTCACATTTGCATAATGCTACACTCCCTTTGCATGCATTTTTACACCATGAATGTGTTTTGCATACATATGCAGCCCATGATTAGCTGACCTTGCATCACACCTCGCTCATCCTGTATTCAGCTTCCTGTCCTGAGGCAAACAGGGCCCTACACTTGACATGCGACATATAAAGGATATTAACCCAATCGATCGTTGACGATAAGCTAACGCCATTCGGGGCTCCCCTTGGTCTTACAGGTAACTTGAGGTGAGGCCGCGCTTTGCCGGCACCTGTAATGGGACCCTCCATGTGTGAGGTTCCTGAGTTGGCCAATGGACAAGCTACCTCATCATCCTTGAGTGACACTTGCAACTTCTAACCAAAAAAAAGTTACTTTTAGAAGATATAGCTCCACTTGGGTTACTGCTAACATTCAAATGAGCTCAACCCATTGAACTGGGTGAACAAGATTCATCATGATCGCTATCCTTGCCCCACCTTGCCATAACATCACATCATTTTTTTTTTGCGGATGCCTGCAGGAACTGGACCTTAATTTCGCCCCGGAGGCTCAGTCATCGTGTTTAATGTCTCTGAGGCTGCTGGCTCGTCCTCTGCCTGTGTGTTGAATCGCTCCAGGGCACTCAATGCGGTTGAAAACTGCGTTTCCTTTGGGTTCCCGAAGGGACGCTTTTTGCAATGGTCACAAAGGCAGCCTACTGGTGTGCATCTCTTGGATGTCTCAGTTCTTTTTTCCCCCTGAACTGAGGCACCATATTTAGAGTTTTGTCGTTATTGTTTTTCCAGAACAATGTTGTAAATGTCTGTAGTTGGCGCAGAAAACAAAACCATATGACTTGGCAGGGAAGAATGCGTTTACTTTCATTCTCCTTTTTCAGCGTTTGGCAGGGTTCGAGGGAATCGAGGCTCACGTGACACTAGCGGAACGAAACACCAAAGAGTTGAGCTGTCTCTCGAGCAGAAATACAACGAAGAGGAGAACGACCTGTCCGGTCAGAACTGAGGAAATCAACACACTCCATGTCAGGTCACTGGGACCATGACATGCAGAACATGTCTGTTTCTACAGCGATGCTCTCTGACTGATCTTAAGACAAACAGCCTTTGTCACCCGATTCTCCTTTCCAAGACTGTCACAGACCATTCCCCTGCACGATGTCTAAAAGTATATGCTTTATAATATTCAAGCCTTATTTAAACCTTCTTAAGCTCAATAGAAAATGTATTTATGACAATTTATGACACCTATTCATACATTCCTAATGGTCACAAAGAAATATTACAGCTTGGACACTTCATATAAGGAGAACATTTAATTATGTTACTTTAAATAATTCAAATTCAGTGTGTCGAATTGTACTAGTTGAGAAAACATAATCGGCCCTATTAATCAGTTAAATGAACGCCATGTCTTGGCTAGCCATTTGATCCAACCGCGTAGATATTTCACTTTCTCCGTTATATGGTCTGACAGGCAGATTTATGATGAAGTTTCTCACACGTAAGTGCGCCGCATTGCAATCGGAATGCTGAATTAACCCGGGACTTCTGCGCAGCTTACGGCACCTCGAGGACTATCGAGTTCCTTAATGTTTTCCCATAAATTACCTTCCCAGCCCTGGACAGAACTCTGACCCCACATTAGGCGACGGGATCCTCGAGTGAGACAGTCTGCTCAGTGGAAAGAACCATTTCAAAATTTATGGATTGGATTCCAGAAGGACAGACCGCCCACCCTTAAACGTCGACTTGAAGGTGGGCGGGGGGGGGATGGGGGGGGCAAGGTGGTGACTCACAGCATAAGTTGTAATGAGACTTTTACAGTACTGAGGTGTGGGGGGATGCTATCCTGGTCTTTTAACGTTTCTACTAAGCTTTGTGTTTAAGGGTATTTCTGGGAACAGGAGACAACAAAATGCCCAATTCAAGACATCCACACGAACGTATAACTTAACACTCTGCTCAGGGACATATCTATAAATTCTGGGCTTCCTGACAAAATGTCACCTCGCCCCCCCCCCCCCACCTCTCTTACATTATATAATTTTATATATTCAAGGCTCCCTGTAAAGTGCCGGGCCCCCTGAATCTGCCAGGGTATCCGTCTCCCTACAGAGCCCTTGACACTAATAAACTGTGCATCAAAATGCAGGGACCTTTATTGACTGTCCCAAAAGTACATCATTCAGGAGCATGTTCAGAGCAAATGGCGTCATAAGACGCTGAGACACACCTGGCCGTGGGGCTGCGGTTTTGGACTCTATCGCATTCCTGATAAAATCCAAAGCCAACCAGCCACGTATGGAGCGGAAAGAAAAGTGTGGAAAAAAAAAAATCAATTTCAATCCAAACAAAAAAAATGTGCTGCTTCCATCTTCATTGTAAAATAATAAGTGCCATGTATGATTGTAATCTACCAAATTAGAGCAAATTGCCTTTTCCAATCGGGGTCTTCAATTACTGATTGCGCATTCCCAGTTAACAGGCGGCAGAAAGCACGCTCTACTTAAAGACTGATCCCGTTCAGGATTCAGACGTGTTTCTTTGGAATCATCCGGGATGCTGTTTTTTTCAGGCTAACAAAGGGCAGCTGTGGGAGGCTTAAAGAAGACCGGCTCTCTGGTTTACATTAATGAGATCATTACTGACTGTGCCATGGTACTATTAGCTCGTAGCTGCACACCAGCTTGGCCACCTTTGGACCTTTGGAAGACGTCTACGTTGTGTTTTCACCTGCTATGGTGTTCCTTGATTAAATGTTATCCAAGACAACCTTGTGACCTTTACCAGTTCTTCTCTTTTTTAATATCATCATTCATCCATCCAATAGCATTTGCTGGGTCACAGGTTACCAGGACACAGCAGAGAAACAAGTATGCAATCGATACATTGTATAGCATATGTCCCTAGTAGATAATGCTAATACCTTTCTCAGTTTATTAAAGGGAAAAATCTTCGACTGAGTTACAGGAAGTCCACAACTCAATGTTGTTGGGACTTGTTTTCGACTTTCCATCTGGGAACATTGCAGGCGAGCCCCTGACGGCAGTAAATTTTCATCTCAGGCTGTTTTTCTTCTTGAAGTCACATTGTGACCCAGATGACACGATAAGTCCATCTCCCTCCATGCATAATGGGCCCGATGCCATAGAATTATTAGCAGCCGATTGGCCACACGGCAATATTTATGGCAAGCTAGCCCTCTGACTCATCAAAAACAAATACTCAATTAATTCAGACGGAGAAATGGCACAAAATGTGCGTCACCTGAACAGAAAGGGGAGAAAATCTAAATTAAAAAGAAATCATAAATAAATTATACCAGCTATACCTTCAAAGGAAATAGAACATTAGCAGAATGTAAAATCATACACGCAAGCACAAGTGGTTTGATTCAGAGCAAGGTACAGATAATTAAAAGATTAACCTGTTTCTATTGAAATGGTTTGTTAAAGCTTTTCTCAATATTTTCGGAATGTTCTCTGCTTGGCACATTTTTCTGCTATTCAAGGGTTTAGCTATCTAAGAAACAACATGAGTGTGACTGCAAGAAGGATCTCAGGAAAAAGCAGCCTTTTAAAAAGCCCATTTTAGGAGTAAAGGGCAGAGTAGATAAGGGTAAAAAGTCTACACAAAAGAGGTTCTGGACACATTTATTT